GAGAAAAATGGGGTGGGAGAGTGGCAAGGTAAAAGGGTTATAGGAGAACAGGGAGTGATCAATTAAAGATGGAAGAGTGAAAGTGGGTGGGGGAGGTATCAGGAAAAAAGAAGATACTAAAGATGCTTACAGGGAAACTGATGTGACATCTGGGAGCAAATCTGAGACTGTGTCCTCCAGGAGGACTGTGAAATTAGACTGCCTAGTTGTGCATTGCAACGCCCTTACTTATATCTATTAAACTTTGGGCAAGTTACTTAGCTTGAAGTCTCAGGTTCCTCAACCATAAAATGGGAATAATAATGTATCTACTTTATAGAGGTATTGAAAGAATTAACTGAAATCAGTAGAATTAAAGCATTTAGAACAATGCCTGCCACAGAGAAGGGTCCAATAAATGTTACTTTTGCCATTTACCCTACATAATTTCTTTTTATTTTATTTTAAAAATAAAACTGTACATGTTTAAATTGTACAACACAATAATTTGATATATATATACATAGTGAAATAAAGTTATGGTGCAATTATATAATGGAATATCATTCATTCTTAAAAAGGAAAGACATCCTGCCATTTGCAACAATATGGATGAATCTGGAGGACATTATGCTAAGTGAAATAAGCCAGACACAGAAAGAAAAAGCTACATGATTGCACTTACCTGTGGAATCTAAAAATGTCATCTCCTACCTAATTTAAAAAATTAAATGAAGGGGCTTAACTACTATTGATTAACTAATGAAACATTTCTATCTCTTATTATTGGATTTATAAACTAAAAATACTATTCATATTATACTGATCAAAATAAATTTGTTATAGCAATACCATACCAGTCCTTTATAGTTTACTTCTTCCTTTTTGCCCTTTGTGTGTGTGTTTTAATTTTTTAAATCGGTTTTAGAGAGAGGAAGAGAGAGAGAAACTTTGATGTGAAAGAGAAACATCCATCAATTGCTTCCTGTATGCGCCCACCAGGGATCAAACCCACAACCTGGGTATGTGCTCAGACTGGGAATGGAACCTGCCACCTTTCAGTGTACAAGGCGATGCTCCAACCAACTAAGCCACACCAGTCAGAACTCCTTTTTGCCATTTGTAAATTTCTGGCTTCAACATCTACCTATTATTTTCCACTTCTCTGGTACATATGAATGCGAAATATTAGAAGACAACTGTGCCCTTTTTAAGTGTAATATGTAAGTTTCATCAAAATTTATAGCACAGAAAAACAACATGGGATATTTAATAACCTTTTGTAAGAGTCATTAAATTATAAAAATAATACCATCTGCACTAAATGTTATCAGATTTCACAGGAATTATTAAAATTTACAGATTAACTCTAAATTTCTTTTGCTTTTCTGCTACAGTATATTTCAGTTACAGGCCCATTATTTTCCAAATGTAACTTAGCTGTTTAACTTAAAAACCAGTCTGAATTTCCATGATTCTTTTTGCTATTCTTCCACTCTTCCTGAGCTGTTAATGGGCAATGAAATGCCTAAACTATGTAAAGGAACGAGAGAAATATAAGAAAAGAACACCAGAAGTGAATGAGCAAATAGATCTGGAACACAGGGTNTTATAAAAATAATACCATCTGCACTAAATGTTATCAGATTTCACAGGAATTATTAAAATTTACAGATTAACTCTAAATTTCTTTTGCTTTTCTGCTACAGTATATTTCAGTTACAGGCCCATTATTTTCCAAATGTAACTTAGCTGTTTAACTTAAAAACCAGTCTGAATTTCCATGATTCTTTTTGCTATTCTTCCACTCTTCCTGAGCTGTTAATGGGCAATGAAATGCCTAAACTATGTAAAGGAATGAGAGAAATATAAGAAAAGAACACCAGAAGTGAATGAGCAAATAGATTTGGAACACAGGGTGGGGCAAAAGTAGGTTTACAGTTGTAAGTATGTGAAACAGTTTCTTCTTATATTATTATTTATTAATTATCGTATTATTTTCCATATGAACAACTGTAAACCTACTTTTGCCCCACCCTGTATTTGGGGGTTGGCTGTAGTGTTATGTATTATTTTCTATGAGTAGTAAGTGGATTTTAGAAATACTTAAAACCAGGAGAGGAACTATAAATAAAAATGTATAATTCAGGGTAAAGTTTATTGGAGCTACTTCAGTTGTTGTTTTTGTTCTTTTTTAACAAAAAAAGAACTTCTGTTTACCCAAGACCTAATGTTGATTTAAGTGAGAGGTAAAGATTCTGGACTGTTGGATGAAATGAGGAGTCAGGAATCATGATCTCTTCCAGGTGGACAGCCAACAAAGCTACTGCAACAGAACAACAACCAGGCCTCCTGTCACTTGGGGAGCTCAGGACCAATTGAGTGGGACATCAGCCAGAGAAAAGCAATTCCATTGTATGGAATGATGTAGAAAATGGATGGCAGGGACCGTTCCAATTTGTGATGTGGTAGAGAACAAGACTTCTGTTTCTGTCCGCCTGAGTGCCGAGACATCTTTGCAGCAACTGAAAATACTGTGATGGATAGTCCCTACTCTAGGAGTCTTTGAAAAATGCTTCTCCTCTGGCCAAACATACAAGTGGAATTCATTTTTCATATTCAGAATCCAGGTTCTATAAATTTTATATTTAGATGTGCTCAGCTAACCATAAGGATCTTGCAGCACAAAGTCGAATGCTTTTAGAAGCCCATGTTGGAAGAGTATGAACCCACTGTGGGTAATTTGTGCTTCTAGCACAGTGTGAAGCCAGGGCTAGGCCTGAAGATGTAGGCATACTCCAGCTTGCCCAGGGATGCTGTGATGTGGTGAGCTGGGGCTCTGTTATGACCTGAACTGTATCCCTCCAGAATTCATATGTTGCCGTCCTAATCTTTAGTGCATCAGAATGTCACTCTGTTTGGAGATAGGGTCTTTAAAGAGGTGATTAGGTTAAAATGAGGTCATTTGCATGGGCCCTAATCCAATAGGACTGGTGTCCTTATAAAAGGAGGAAATCTGGACACAGAGGGAAGATAAAGTGAAGACACAGAGAGAAGGTGGCCATCTATAAGCCAAGGAGATCTCAGATTTCTACCCCACAGAAGTGTGAAAAAATAAATTCTTTTGTTTAGCCATCCCATCTGTGGTGCTTTGTTATGGCAGCCGTAAAGCCAATTAGGGCAGCTCTATTTGTAGTAGGAGTTGTTAGACCTCATTGGACAATCCATGTCTACCTTCAAGAAGGCTGATCTCCAGCATGGGACTTGGTGCTCCTTCCACTTGGGAGGAAAGCAACGTAAGGAGAGGGGTTTGGCAGAAAAACAGGTGAACAAAATAAAGAAATAAAACATAAATATAACTATGATTTCACCACTTGGAAGTAACCTCATACATTGTCAATCTTTTCATACCTTTTACTATAAATACATAAATTTACACACACAAACACACACACACAGAGCAAAATGGAATAATTTACTTTTTGTGGTCATCTTCCCATATCAATAATTTTTAATTCATAGCATCACTTCTAATGTCTGATATCATTTCATTGTATCGAATATATCCTAGAAGTAGAATTGGTGGGTGGATGTGTCCAAGCTTAGCTATATGTAAAGGCTTTTGATAGATGTTGCCAAATTGCCTTCTAGAAATGAGGCATTTACTTACATTGAGAAAGTCTATTTTGAGAGCAACATACATCCCTGTAACTGGTAACTCTTGACACAGCCGTTCATGGGCTTTCAGCCAAATTCCTAGGGAGTTGAGTGTGGAAACCAGGGGACACTGAAAATCTGCATTGCCAGGGACTCAAGACACTCTTTGATGGAAGGAGTGTCCAGGGCTGGTGGAGGGGGGCATTTCCTACCTTAGCAAAGTGGCAGGCGCCGGGAAGCCTGGCAGGATGCTGATTCTACAGCTGGGATGGGAGCTGCAAGCCCTGTTAGGAGGGGCCACATTGGGTCAGCTGCTAGGCGTCTACTTGGAGACTGTGGCATCCATGGGATTGTGGAGAATGAAGAAGTGGGAAGAGGGGACTCACGTTGCTCACTTGAGAGTGGGGATGTCCCTGAGGATCTCTGGATGGGCTGGGAGGGACCCATGGGCTGAGGTTTCATGGATTTCACTGCAGGGAGCCTGAGATCACTGTGATGATGACCCTTGGTTGTTAATTTTATCCCTCGGGCTTTCAGAGCCTGGGAAAATACAGGTTATGCTAGGGAATAAGACCAGAAGGACTGACAGCCTTTGCAGTTTTCATGCATTAATGGAAGATGCTATTTGATTTTGGTTCTTTGCCCAGTATAAGAGATCCCAGGGGGCATACTTAAAAGGAAAGCCAAGCTAATCTTAAATGAAAAAAAAAAAGAAAATGTTTTATTTCATAAACATGAAAATTATGTGGCACTCAATAAAATGTGTTGGCAAGTAAGCTTCTGCCACACAGTATGATAAATAGGTTAATTCCTCTCGGGAGAAGGACTTGAATTCCACTCATCATTAGATAAGATTCCGTTTCAACAGGAATCTTTCTAAGGAAGATAAGCAGTGGCCTCTGGTTTGGTGGTGAATAGACCATAGCAGAACGGAGAACTGCACCCTCATTATTGCCTTGAACGGTGCTGTTACCCTTCTCAGTGTGTTTTAAAACCTTCTTTGGGCGCAGGGCCTCTGCTCATCAGACACAACTGACACATATAAAGGACAGTCACGCAGATCTTGATACAGACCTTGTCGCTAAACAATAATGTGTTGTAGATATGAGTGCAGGATTAAAGACATTTTGTTTGATTTCTTTGAAATTTAGATTTAGCTGCCAAAGTCGCTTCCCAAAGTAAATGTACGTTTTTGTACATTTGCCCAAGGCAAGGAATAAATTCCCAGTAAAACAAATGAGTGATTCTTTCCCTGTGGTTGTTTCAGTCTATCTTCCAGTGGTACCATGGAGAATTAATTACTTCATAATCTCACTCACCATAGCCTATCAAATTAAAAATGGTTATGGAAAATCAGGGCTTACCGTCTATCATTGGTTTGGGCTGAGAACTTTTGAGGCGCAGAGAGGGCCGGAAGCGGGTTCGGTCGTTGAAGCTCCAGCTCTTCTGCACTTTGGTGGGGCTGCCCTCGGCTGTGATGTCGGTGCTCGGGGACCTCCTGTCACCTATTGAGGCTTGTCTGCTCTTAATACTCTGGCCTCTTGGGCTAGCCATGCGCACACGCTCCTTAAAACTTAGCTTCTGACTGTGGACAACAGAGGCACGATTATTCCATTTCAAGCAATTTCTCCCATTCCACTTGGATAAATAATTTGATGAAATGGTATATGGTCATGTATTTCAATATAAAATGTTTTCAGCAGGTAGGAGCATAGAAATATATTTTTCTTGTATTGAAAATTTGAGCTTTGTTTAATCTCTCTGCTTGCATTCATTTGAAGTCAATCTCATACTCCAGGTATACACACCCTTTCTGGACTCATCATAGAAAGATCTGAGATCAAGTGCAGGAGTTTGTACACAAATTACACTGGAAATAACCAAGAACTGGATTGGTATTCACTTTTAAAACAGATTTTAGCTTTAACCTCAACTTTCAAGATTAAGAAAAAGTTACTTTTTTATTTGGGAGCATATCTCTTTGTAATTTCTAAACATTTCTACAGGGAAACAGGGAGACAGTTACATATACATATATATCTACATTCTGCATGCATTTTATATTCCAGGCAAGATTATGATATCCATAAATTCATGCAATCTCATAGCAGTTGGTAGCACTGCATACATAATATTGAACATACCAACACAACACTACACTTCTTTTATGCTTACATTCATTCTTGTGAGACGAAACCACGCAAGGTAGAACAGCCCCAACATATAATGACTGTGATGACTGATTAACAGAACAAGACATTATGTTCACTAACACAATCTCCTGCTCTTAAACAGGCTAGTTGATTTGCTGTGGCAGCTACTAGTAAATTATACTTGTTCAGGTATTCAGTTCTCAGATGCCAGCTAGGATTGAACTGTTGTGGGTCAATAAAGGAGGCACTAACAGCAACAAAATCCGAAGTGCATCTCCATGTTTTCCTAATCAAGATATGTCGCTCGATGTGGTGGGAAGGGCAGGTTGGAATCCAAGAGACTTGGGTTTTTGGTGTCTTATCTCTTACATGGAGACAAAAATATAACACGGCTAAGGGATTTTTGTGGGAGTCAAATGCACTGTAAGAAGCTTAGTGTACTTATTTTGTTTGTGTTCTTGTTTCATTTATAAACTACTGTGTTATTTATTAGAAAGTGACTCTGTCGTCGAGTGAGAGGTCCAGGACTTTTCAGGGCCTGAAGAAATGAAGGGCAGTGGGTTGGAGGGGAGTCACTGGAGCAGCTACTTTGAGCTGCTGAGACCTGAAGCCTTTGTGGGGCATGAAGGCAGAGTTTCATGGAAAGGGATTATCTGAGACGAAGTGGAGGCCTGGTCTTTTCCACTTACCGCAATGTCCACTGTCCCCAACTGCAGCATGCCAACAGCAAATGTGTTTAGTGGATATGTGTTTTGCAGCTAACAAGAAACAGTAACATTTATTTTTCCATGCCTAGTGGCTTAACAAATGATATTCTAAAAAGACACCACGTTTTATGTGTGTTTACATGAAAACAAATCAAATAATGAACTATGGTGATCAGAAAGTCCTGGTAACAATAAACAAGTTGACCATGCAACTGACAGCCTCCCTTGGAAACGCAGACAGAGCTAAATCCAGCACTACTAGCCGAAGGCACATGCAAAGAACAGGCTGGGCAGTTTTGTGATGGGGTTAGGTGGGTTCAAGAGTCCTTTAAAAAAATCCCATCTGTCACAGGCTTTTTCTATACTTGACAAGTGTGTGATTAAAAGGCAGATTACATTAAATAACAGCAACAATAACATCATAAAACTGCATTTTTTTAGTCTCAGGCTAGGTTCTCTATGTGTTCCAAAGCCTTCAAATTATTTAAACAAATCCTTCAAGGGATAGTGCCCAAAATGTCTACTCTTCTCAAGGTTTTCTTTTTTTTGGTAAAAATTCCAAATCTCTTTTCAGTGTTAGCACATCTGTTCCATCATTGAGATTTATGATGATCTGGTTCAGGAACATATGCTTACCTCTGCACCTTTATTTAGATTAATGAATGGCTTAAGTCGACATAGCTATCATGACAAGTGTTTTCACTATACTTTAATTGATTACCTTTTCTGGAACTAACTGATCCTAATTACTACAGAAGGTTGTGTTTTAGTTAACATAAAATTATTTTTTCAAACTTTCAAGATATATCTCTTTCCTAGGCCAATTAAATGAACAGGAAACTGATAAAAACATCATAAAAACATTTGATATGGAATTTAATTTTTCCTTTAAAAATTTTTCAGTTACTAAAAAAAGTAAAAAAATCCCAAATAAGTATCAGCATCAAATCCACCAGTGCTTATTTGTAATAGTAAAATATTTAAAGACAATTGCTCCCATGAAAATATTTTTAAAAAATTGGCCCTTTGAAATATTTTGGTATTATCTTTAAGAATTAATGGAAAGTGAAAGTAATATTATTCTCTGAATCTTAGTAACATTTAAAGCACTTAAAGTTAATATAAATGAGCTCTAGGTACCATTTCCCCTTCTGTTCTTCTAAATTACATGAATACTTGCCAATGCCTATTATTTAAGAAATTCTCAAGAACTATTTTAAAGTGAACTCAACATATTAGAAACATATTAAAAACACTAAATTAGAAAAAAAATGCAAAACTTTTCACTCTCTTTTTAGACGTAATTGTATGACGTTAAGAATAAGATCTGAATCCAGAACTTTTTAACCAGGCACCGTTTCCATTCCCAAGGAAAAATCTGTTCTTGTATCTTCTTGCAAAAAGCTCATTTTTATTAGTTTTTCTACTTCATTTCCTCTTTGGAAATCAACAGAGCATCTTGATTAGATGGCTATTAATCTGATTAGGTGGTTGTTATTAAAAACACACATTGATTAAAAAATATAGATTCTTCACTGGCCCATTGAGGTTTTCATTATTTTCCTGGTGTGTGTGTGTGTGTGTGTGTGTGTGTGTGTGTGTGTAACATCAACTAACATGCTTTTTAAGGAACAGTGTTTTTAGGAAGAATGCCAAAGATTATCCCCAGGAGAGCAACAAAGAGGTCTCTCTTTGGAGAAAGTAACCAAAGGGTCACTGTGATCATTGATTGCAGCATCTTAGCATGCAGTCTCACATTCCCAGCTGAGGACTATACTTCAGGGAGCCCGCACAACCGCTCTGCAAGGGAATTCTTCCCTCTCTAGGAACCAGAGGTACAAGTTACTCAAACGGCCTAGCGCACAGTCTACTACTGGCTATTCCCTGCCAGGGAACTGTGTGGCATCACTGTAAACCCACAATAATCCTCTTGGACTTAGAATGCTGTAGTTGTTGTTATACTTAATTAGGGTTTTAGCCCTTCATAAGATAAGCATTCTACAAATTCTCGCCTCAGGCACAATATGGCAAGTGAGCCATAACAATCCAGTGCGTGCAGCAGCTCAGCAGTTGTCCCACCACAAGGAGGCGCCAAAGGGCTGACTGCCAGAACTGTGCAGGGCCCTGCCAATAGGACAAATGTGTCCCAGGGGGAGACAGTATCAAAGCAGGCAACAGGCAACAAGGGAAATTACAAGCGGGTTGAAAACCTCATTCGAGAAGTCCTTAGGAAGAGTGAGTCTCTGAACAGGGCTCAAGTAGGGTGGCGCTGTAACTTGGTCATGCACCTGAGGTTAGTTGGCATTCTCAAGTCTCATGTCAATAGCTGGGATGCTGGGTACCTCTGCTTCCATGTGGTGTGCATTCTGAAGAGCTTCTGCTTATTACTATAGAGCTTACTAGGAGTGAGGGAAATAGAGTAGCACATTACTAAGCATTTCACCACCAGGAAAGTGCTGAGGGATTTTTATTTTCCATTTTGAAAAACAAAGTCATTTGGTTATATTGTTTTTTCAGGTATAAGTATACAGAGTATTTAAGCAGTAAGTACTATGTAGTTTAATTGTGCTGCTCAAAATATACCTAGTGCTCTTAATGGTTAAGATGAAATAATTAGATTTGAAATAGGCATTACAGATGACGGTAGTTTATGTGTTAGCAACTGATTCATATGGAAATAAGAATATAAATATTTTAGAATACAGCAATCCTTGTAATAAATAGCAATGCAACATAGTATAAATGATTGAGGAACAAAATATTTCGAAACTTAAAAAATAAATATTTAAAGGAATAATGAAGTTGATAATATTGCTTTGAAATGAAAATAAGTTCTGGATTGGTATGAAACACCTGCAGTTATAGTTAATACAATTGTGAGATAGAATACATGTTCAAAATGACAGAAGAAAAGATTCTTGGTTGCTAGTCTATTAGAAAAAATTTCTTATTTTAAGTCTTATGATGTGTTTTCTTTCTATCAATAAATATGAATGGAAAAAGAAACCATTAAAAAAAAAAAAGAAACAATCTAACATTTTTCCAATAAGGGCACAAGTTGACTATGCCCGAAAAAAAGCCTAGTCTTACTGCATTTAGCAACACATGCAGATTATTCACTGCAGACAGAAGAAAGGAAATTTAAATAATGGAAAATAAATGCAGAAGAAATATAAGAACATAGTCTTTCCGTCACTGTTCTAGAGTTCTCTCCTAAGAGCCACACATCTCCTCAAAACTTAATAAAGCCAACCACAGAGGAGCAATTCAGACAAAGCACTCAGCAGATCGCAGCACAATATCGTAATGTAATAAAAGAATATCACTTATGCTTTAACTTTTAAGACATGCATCTTTATAACAGTCGCACAAGTACCTGTTAAAGCAACTTAAGACAGTCTACTAAGAAGCCTTACAGAGTTCCGTTAATTCCTTATAAACTGTGAACAAGGCAACTTAACTGCGAAGCACACACTCAACAATGGTTGATAGGGAGACAGGTAAGCAGAGGCAGTCAGCTTTGTAGATAACCCATGAACCCCCTGAACCTCTGGTGGTATGATCTAGTCTTGTGGCAAAACACAACAGGTAGGAAGAAGTAAAAGCCTTGTACCAGTGTGATGAGAATTCACACACTACTTGATGGCTGAGAGCTTGCCAAGGAGGAAGGGGCAAGGACCTAGAACCTCAGGGCGGGAATACTGGCTCCAGCTGGCCCCATGGCT